CATACAATATATAAACAATCAAACACATGAAACACGAAAACACACAAGCACATACACACAATACACATGGGTTGCGCGTGCACACACACACACACACACACACACACACACACACACACACACACACACACACACACACACACACAGCATACAAAAAAAACAAACACATACACACAAACAAAGACACGATGTATGTGTGTGTGTGTGTGTGTGTGTGTGTGTGTTTGTGTGTTCCTCACCTTGTTGGTGACTGTGAAGAGTGTGTAGATGAAGATCAGATGGTGTGTTTGAATCGGGAGGTAACGGCACTGCTGCAGAGAAAACACCACGGCTCCTAACAGGGTCACCTTTGTGGGACTGCACACACACACACACACACACACACACACGCACACACACACACACACACGCGCACACACACACACACACACACACACACACACACACACACACACACACACACACACACACACACACACACACAGAAAAAGGTCAAAGGTAAAATTAGAAAACAAGGTCAGATAATCAACACACACACATGAGTTCAAATGAGGCGAGACAGTCATTATGTTTACACACACACACACACACACACACACACACTAATAAACAACACTACATGATGGAGGGGCTGACTGTTTATGACTAACAATTAATAACTGCAATTAACTGTAAACACAGGTTCAGGAGTAACTGCAGAGCTGTGTGTGTGTGTGTGTATGTGTATGTATGCATGAGTGTGTATGCATGTGAGAGTGAATGAGAGTACACGTGTGTGTATGCATGAATGTTTATGCATGTGTGAGTGTGTGTGTATGAGAGTAAATGTGTGTGTGTGTGTGTGTGTGTGTGTGTGTGTATATATGTATGTATGCTTGAGTGAGTGTGTCTGTGTGTATGAGAGTACACGTGTGCGGGTGTGTGTGTGTATGCATGAATGTTTATGCATGTGTGAGTGTGTGTGTATGAGAGTAAATGTGTGTGTGTGTGTGTGTGTATATATGTATGCATGCTTGAGTGAGTGTGTCTGTGTGTATGAGAGTACACATGTGCGGGTGTGTGTGTGTGTGTGTGTGTGCAAGTATGAGTGCATGCATGTGTGAGTGTGTGCACATGTATGTGCATGCGGTGTGTGTATGAATGTGTGCATGTTTGTGTTAGTGTGTGTAAGGGTGTATGCATGTGCGAGTGTGTGTGTTTGAGTATTTGCATGCACATGTGTGTGTTTGTGTCACTGTATGCATGTGTGTGTCTGTGCATGTGTGTATGTTTGTGTGTGTGTGTGTGTGTGTGTGCATGTGTTGAATGTCTCCACAGTGATGGATCACAGACTCTCCTCTCCTCTCCTCCTCTTCCACACAAATCTTCTTTCCTAAATGCCACTCGCACAAAAACCATGACAACAAGTGTCGCTCAAGACCAGAGCAAATCAATACAGGAGCCAATTATTCCACCTGCGGCATTCTGGGAGAAAACGCTATTACTGTGACAGAGACAGAGACTTCAGCAGATGCACGCAGACACGCGCACACACAGACACACGGCTGACCTCAAACACACTCACTAACACTAAGCTCCATATATATATATACACTAGCTATCGCATAGGGACCCTGAGCATGCGTCAATAGCGCCGCCACATTGGTACAGTGCTCCCAGGACAAATGTCATTCAACCGCACTAGTCAAGACAGTGTTATTACGTGAAGATGCGGGACTTTAGCGCTGTCTACGGGTGTAGTAACGAGCAAACAAAGAAAATAAAGCACAAAGGCAGAACATTTCATAGGTAATATTAAGTTTTTCTTCTGTTTTTGTATGTTCTGAACTTTTGTGCTAATCAGGTAACGTTATTGATGATAACAGTCTCTTACTGCATTCACCATACGGCAAAGCAGCTCCAACTCACACTAAACACTCGGCTTATGCTAGTTTTGTTGAATAAAATCAGCAAACAATGCAAAAGAAATATGACAACGAGACGCTGCGCTGCCAGAAACTGGTATTATTGTCGGCTAACGTTAGTGAAGGAGTCGTTCGGGGGATTCATTCACAAACGAATCGCTCCCTCCGTCAGTATGAGCAGTGAAATCAGGAGAGGAGCTGTGTTTCAGGACATGATTAGATCAAATTAATTTAGCAGGGAGGGTGAATAGTACATTTCTGTACACACAAACACAAGCTTTTTGTCAGGAATGCAGGAATGTAGAAAAGTGATGTAAAATTATAGTTTTCGTAATTAGAAAAAAAAAAATTACATACTAACATCCAGAAAAACTCCCGATCATAGATATATGTGTTTGT